GTAATTAATTGCAAATCATTCGAAATCCGAGATATTTTGGAGTTTGGAGTGCTCGTGCCATTTGAGAATGATCCAATTTCATCGATAGTATTATATTAAAATTTCCCGTTATCGATGCTAACTTTAAATACGAGAAATTGATTTGCATCGGTTGACTATAAAAGGTTTTAATAATGATGATGACCAACTGACTATAAAAGTATCAACTATCAAGGGAAAGTGCAAGCATACTGTAATAGTAGTAATATCTTAAAAGATATTCGATGAAATTGGAATGGTAAAGAGTAGATCAGCTTGGCCCTTGCACAAGTATGGCACACACTACTAGTAGCAGCAAATTTGTTTTGACAAGTAAGGATAATTTGACCTGGCCTGTTTGGACAGACCATTTACTTCTAACTCCTATAATGTGGCTGCTCGTGTCATTGATAATTATCCAATTTCATTCATAATATCACATTAGAATTACCCATTATCGATGCTAATTTTAAATACGAGAAATTGATTTACATCAGTTGAATATAAAGGCTTTGATAATTATGATGATCAACTGACTATAAAAGTATCATCTGTCATTCAAGGGAAAGTGCAGACATGCCGTAATAGTAGTAATCTCTTATAAGACATTCAATAAAATTGGAATGATAAAGAGTAGATCGGCATGGCCCTTCCACAAGCATAACATGCCCTACTAATAGCAGTAGGAGCAAATTTGTTTTGGAACGTGAGGATAATTTGACCTAAGCTGTTTGGACGAACCATTTAATTCTATCTCCTGTAATGCAAGTAAATAATTCCAAATCATTCGAAATTCGAAATATTTTAGAGTTTGGCTACTCGTGCCACATGAGAATGATCCAATTTCATCGATAGTACTACATTAGAATTATCCACTACCGATGCTAACTTTAAATACAAGAAATTGATTTACATCAGTTGAATATAAAGGCTTTGATAATAATGATGATCAAATGACTATAAAAGTATCAACTGTCATTGATGGAAAGTGCAAACATGCCGTAATAGTGGTAATCTCTTAAAAGACATCTAATGAGATTGGAATGATAAAGAGTAGATCAGCATGGCCCTTGCACAAGTATGACACACCCTACTAGTAGCAGCAATTTTGTCTTGGAATGTGAGAATAATTTGACCTGGGCTGTTTGAACGGACCATTCACTGCTAACTCCTATAATGCGGCTGCTCGTGCCATTTGAGAATGATCCAATTTCATTGATAGCATCACATTAGAATTACCCATTACCGATGCTAACTTGAAATACAAGAAATTGATTTACATCAACTGAATATAAAGGCTTTGATAATTATGATGATCAGCTGACTATAAAAGTATCAACTATCATTCGAGGGAAAGTGCAAACATGTTGTATTAAGAGTAATCTATTATAAGACATTCAATAAAACTGGAATGATAAAGAGTAGATCAGCCCTTGCAGAAGTATGACACGCCCTACTAATAGCAGTAGCAGTAAATTTGTTTTGGAATGTGAGGGTAATTTGACCTCGGTTGTTTGGACGAATCATTTACTTCTAACTCCTGTAATGCAAGTAATTAATTTCAAACCATTCGAAATTCGAACTATTTTAGAGTTTGGGCTACTCGTGCCATTTGAGATTGATCCAATTTCATAAATAGTATTACATTAGAAATACCCATTATCGATGCTAACTTTAAATACAAGAAATTGATCTACATCAGTTGAATATAAAGGCTTTGATAATAATGATGATCAGCTGACTATAAAAGTATCAAATGTCATTGATGGATAGTGCAGACATGTCGTAATAGTAGTAATCTCTTAAAAGACATTTGATAAGATTGGAATGATAAAGAGTAGATCAACATGGCCCTTGCACAAGTATGGCACACCCTACTAGTAGCAGTAGCAGCAACTGTATTTTGGAACGTGAGGATAATTTGACCTGACTTGTTTGGACGAACCATTTACTTTTAATTCTTGTAATGCAAGTAATTAATTTCAAATCATTTGAAATTCGAAATATTTTAGAGTTTGGGCTGCTCGTGCCATTTGAGAATTCCAATTTCATCAATAGTATTGCATTAGAATTACCCATTATCGATGCTAACGTAAATATCAGAATTGATTTACATCAGCACACTATAAAGGCTTTGATAATGATAATGACTATTTGACTATAAAAGTATTAAATGTCTTTATGGGAAGGTGCAGATATGCCGTAATAGTAGTAATATCTTAAAAGGCATCCGATAAAATTGGAATGATAAAGACTAGATCAGCGTGGCCCGAGCATAAGTATGACAATCACTACTAGTAGTAGCAGTAACAACCATTTTGTTTTGGAATGTGAGGAGAATTTGACCTAACCTGACAATTGCACTTATTTCCAATTAACATCTTAATTTATTTATCGGGAAAATGAGCTATACTGGTGATCAGTTTTAAATATATTGTAGATATGCCCCTTCAGAGCACTCGAGATCAAATTGATCAAATCCACCTCTGTAGGGCTTGCTTAAATTTAATTGTTTATGAAAACCCATGCAAGGAAACCACTGCTAAAATTTCCTTGCATGGGTTTCCATGCAAAGAAACTTTGCATGGCCCTTACACAAGAATGATACGCCTAATAATAGATTAGCATGGCCATGCTAATCTACCCATGTATTAGTAGCCATGTCATGGCCATGCTAATCTATGTAAGAATGGTCTTCTGAGCTCCTAGGGGAGATATTGTTTGATGTACTTTGGACCTATATCAACTTGTTTAGTGAATGAGGATACTGAACAACTTTGATACTGAGCAACTTTGAAACGACAAAGACTATTAACATAGAGGACAAAGCTGGTAATAGCATAAGGTGATTCTCCATTGATCCAAAGGATGCCCATGGCACTAGAATTGTATTCTTTGAGGGGATTTTGAGTGCAATATGCTTTTCTATTTCAAAGCCTGTAATTTGAATAAACTGAACTTTTTCCTGAATACAATCATTCCCTTGTAATCATGATTGAGTTTATATTCACTTTAGAAAATTGTGGTATGCAGCAATGTAAAAGCCGATGATACCATTAATTTATTTATTTATTAGTTTATTTTATTATTTAAATATGTTAAAAAAGTAAATAAATAAATTAAGTCAAGTAGGTTGGTTAATTATGATAATCATAATGAAGTTATTTAATGGTAAATGCATGGTTTGATGTTGGGAAATTTTTAATCAGTATACAATAAACTCAGTGTAACTGCATAGCATATAGATTTGTTTATGCATGATAGCTAAGAGCTTGTTTGGACAGACCATTTACTTCTGACTCTTGCAATGTAAGTAATTAACAAATCATACAAAATCCGAAAATATTAGGAGTCTGGGCTGGTCCAGCCATTTGAGATCGTCCCACTTTCATTGGAATTCCCTGTTACCGATGCCGACTTTAAAAACCTTGATAAATTGATTTACATTAACTTACTATAAAAATATCGAATGCCATTTATGGGAATGAGCAAACACGCCGTAATAATGGTAGTCTCTTCGAAAGCATCCGATAAAATTGAAATGATACAGAGAAGATTAGCATGGCACTTGCACAAGGTGACAAATCTTTAGTAGTAAAAACTATTTCGTATTGGTATATGAGATAATTCGACCTTGCATGACACATGCATTTATTTCCAAATCTTACTTTACATAAAGAGGAATGAGCTATATTAGTAGCCAATTTTGAAGATATTACAAAATTTGATTGTTCAAGGCCCTCGAGATCAAACTTGATCGGATCCACCGCAAGAGGGCACGGTAAAATTTAATTTTCATGGAAGGCCATGCATGGAAACTCTAGCCAGGTTGGGACTGGAGGAGTATTCCTCGGCCACTGGGGGAAATATTTCTGACATATTCCGGACCTATAATCGCCTTGCTCAACGAATGAGGCAGAATGGTAGAAGGTGATTCTAACAATGTCATCCATTGAACCCAACAGAGCCCATGTTATCTTCAA